TGCGTCGGCCCAGCGTTTAAGGCTGTTGGGTTTTGTAAGCCCCCAACCCCCAGAGCCAAAGAGTCGACTCAGACTCATAGCGACCCTCTAGGACAGAGTAGAATTGTCCCCTAGGGTTTCCAAAGCCAATCTTGACGGCGCAGGCTGCCGCATCTTTCTTCCGCGGTATGGCTGGTGGGTTCGGTTGAAACCGCCCATCGGTTAGCAGCTGAGCACTTAACCCCTGCGCCAACAGGGGTCCTTGAGTCCCCAGGAGTGGTTCTCAAACTTGGGCTTGCATCTGAGTCATCTGGAACGAAAAATTCACTGCCATGGAGTTGATTCTGACTCATAGACTCTTATGACTCATAGAAACCCTTTGAGTTTCCCAGGTGGTAAATCTTTATGGAAATAGATTGCCCGGTCTTCCTTCCCTGGAGTGGCTGGTGGGTTTGAACCGCCAACGTTCTAGTTAGTAGTCAAATGCCTTAGGCACTACGTCCCCAGAATCAACTGGAGGGCCTGTTAAAACACAGACTACTGGGGCCCCATATCGGGTTTCTGACTCAGCAGGTGGGGGTGAGGCCCAAGACTCTGCATTTCTAACAAGTTCCTGAGTGATGCTCATGCTGCTGGTCCAGGGTCCGCACTTTAAGAACCACATTTGATCTGTTAGATCCGGCCATTCAGCACTGCAGCCACCAGCCACACATGGCTCTTGAGCACTTGAAATGAGAGTAGTCCAAGTTGACATGTGCTGTTGTTGTTGCGTGCCATCAAGTCAGACCGATTCATAGCGACCCCTCCTTGGGTTTCCAAGGCAGTATCACTACGGAAGTAGATTGCCCCATCTTCCTTCAGAGGAGTGGTTAGTGGATTTGAACCTCCAGTCTTCTGGTTAGCAGTCAAGTGCCTTAGACACTATGCTACCAGAGTGCTGGAAGTGCAAAATACACACCCAAATTTAAAGACAGTACAAACAAACAAAAAAAAAGAATGTACAACGTCTCTTTAATAAGTTTTATAAGGAGCTCTGGTGGCACAGTACCTAAGGCATTTGACTGCTAACCAGAAGGTTGGTGGTTCAAACCCACCAGCCACTCTGCAGAAGGAAGATGGGGCAATCTACTTCCATAAAGATTTGCTGCCTTGGAAACCCAGTGGGTGTGGCTGTAAGCGAGAATCAACTAGATGGTCTTGGGTTTGGTTTGCTTTTTTTGTATAGTTTAAAGATAGGTATTCTGATGGTAGAGTGGTTAAAGTATTTGGCTGGTAACCCAAAGGTCAGCAGTTCGAACCCACCAGCTGCTCTGCAGGAGAAAGATGAGATAGGCAGTCTGCTTCCTTAATGATTGACAACCTTGGAAACCCTATGAAGAAGTTCTATTCTGTCCTAGACTGTTGCTAAGTCAAAATCAACTCCATGGTGGTAGGTTTGGTTGGTTTTATACTTTATCCAAATTTCCTTAGATTTTATCTAATGTCCTTTTTCTGTTCTGGGATCCCATCCAGAGTTTCACATTACATTTATTCATCATGTGGCCTTAGGCTCCTCTTGGCTGTGACATTTCTTAAACTCTCCCAGGTTTTGAGATAGCTCCGGGGGCAGGACTAGGGAGGTTCGCGCAAGTTGAGGCAGGAGGGGGTGGGGAGGGAAGAGCGCGCGAGTTGAGGCAGGAGGGGGTGGGGAGGGAAGAGCGCGCGAGTTGAGGCAGGAGGGGGTGGGGAGGGAAGAGCGCGCGAGTTGAGGCAGGAGGGGGTGGGGAGGGAAGAGCGCGCGAGTTGAGGCAAGAGGAGGGGGAGGAGAGGGAAGAGGAAGAGGTGCTGGTGGGCAACAGAGCCTGGAGCAGCGCCAGCGACCCCGTGAAGCCCAGTCACCCAGAGGGACAAGTCCGAAGTGTGGACTTTCCACACACTGCTGCCTGCAGCGGACCCGCCAGTCATCAGTCAGGACACCAAGTTCCTAGGGTGACCATGACACTTTCTCAATGGTCTAGGATTCCAGACACCCCCCTGGAGGGGTGGGGTGCCATGGATAGGACAGCTTGGGCAGTGGTGGACTATCCACCTCCTCCCTCCTTTGGTTCTTATTGTGGAAGGAAGATTATAGAGGTGAAGAACCCCTTGTCATCATATCACATTACACATGACACCATTATCGACATGATTGATGACTATTAATGTTAACCTTCCTCACGTAGCTGAGGTACTGTTTTCTAGGTTTCTCCACTGTTACTCTTTACCCCCTTTTCTTTG